AAATTCCAGGGCCCTTCCAGGGGTCTACAGGCAGTCAGTCCCAGGGAGTCCAGGGAGTCCAGGGAGTCCAGGCAGCCCCCGGCCTAGTGCCGTCTGCGCCACCGCCCCCAGGTCAATGGCTGCCAGCCTCAAGCCTCGAGCTTCACGGCGCAACAGCACGCGATGAGCGCCTTCCACCAAGACGTGATGGTCCTGCGCTGCTTCGCTGCCATGTTGAATATAACCTGGGGTCTCCTCGAATGTTTTCAGGCCATGTCATTTTCTTGCTCTTACGATACGACATCATCCCGTCTGGTGCATCATCACATCTGCTGCAGCATCATATCTGCTGCAGCATCACATCTGCTGCATCATCATCATCATCATCATCATCATCATCATTATTGGCATCATTATCATCACCAACTCCGCGACATCGCCCCATCTGCTGTATGACCCAGCAGCACCACCATCATCACCATCATCTAGCTGTTCCATACAACAATGCATCGCGAACCATCACCAGATGCTATGCCTCCCATATCCATGGCCGATGCTCCTACTTCTGCACCTACCTCAGCGACGACACCGAGTGCCGTCGACCGTGCTCACTCCCCAGGAGCCAGCATCCACTCGGTATCTCGACCTCAGCCAGGCTCCCAACCCCAGCCTGACCCTCAACCCCGCCATATCCCCCTCCATGTCCCCCTGCCGCCCTATCCACACGAGCCCGACGTCCTGCCGCCCTACGAACCAGAGGCCGACGAGTCAACGAGCCCTAACGATTTCCTCGACAGCCTAGACGCCTTCATCGCCATCTGCCCCGACCTCATCCTGCCCATCACGGCCATCCCGCCCGCGCCAACCTGGCATGGCACTTCTGTCCCAGCCGACCGCCCAGCCCGGAATGCCACCGACCGCGCCAACAGGAACAACAGGAGCAACAGGAGCAGCAGCAGCAACGATCCTCCAGGCGCCCCCTCCCTTTCCCCCAACACCTACCGCCTCTGCAGCAGCATAGTCTACCACTTCTTCACGGCCATCGCCTCGCGCCAAGACGATGTCGTGCGCCTCTTCATCGCCCGCGGCCTCGTCTCCCCCGACGTTCCCTCCGTCACCGGCGAGACGCCTCTGCTAGCTGCCGTCCGCGCCGGCGACGGCACCACCCTCTGCGCCCTCGTCGAGCTCGGCGCCACCGTCGACGCCTACGGCTCGACCCACGAGGCCGACGTCCACGACCCGCGCCGCCGCCGCCGCGCGACCGATGCCCCGACGCGCCGCACGCCCCTGCAGTACGCCGCCGCCCTGGGCCGCCTGCCGCTCGTGAAGTTGCTGCGGAAGATTTTGGGCCGACGACGCCCTCG